AACAGAATATGGCAAAGATGTAATAAATACTCTTTAACATTAAATGAACCATTCAAATCATTCTACGCATTAATTCTACTCGATTTATGATTCAAAACGAAAAACAAACAACCATTCATTCATTCAAATCATTCTACACATAAGATCTAAACGCTAGAGAAGAACAAATCCAGAAATAACTCAACTTACAATAACTCAAATCTAATGCTAACATAAACAGATCCACCTAGTTGCAGCGAGTGCACACATACCGCCGTCTTTCACTCAAATTGGCATATCCATAATCTACATTAAGTTACACTAGCTGTAGCCTCTGCAGCTAATAAATTAAATCCTAGATCCGTTTCTGTATACCACATAAAGCTTTCCGGCGCTATTAATACAATACGACAGAAATGAAAATAAATACTCGTAACATTAATTGAACTAGATCTATAATTAACACAATAAATAATGAATGAATTGTTTACCGGCGAGTGGACGAGTGATCGGAAAAAGTGAGAAATGACGGTGGAATCGACGGAGATTTGGAAGAAAAGGGGAAAAGCATGAGAATCGTGAAGTGAAATCCAGAGGGCACTGAGGGACTTTGCCAATAAAAACCGTTTGCGCGTGTTATATGTGTGGCCCTACTATCGCGTGAGTTGCAATCAGTTTTTTTTTTTTTTTTTAGATCTTGTTGTATTGTACTGATTGATGATGCCTATGGAAAATTCGGTAGATCTATGATCCTCTACGTTGGGGGACAAAAGGGTAATTTCCAAAAAAAATTAAACTCTATCAACGTAATTTGAGAAATGTGATGGGCTTTTGTTTGCTAAAGCCCATGGCCCTTTTATTTTCCTCATGCATGGCCTTTACCTTCAATTTTATTGGAATAATTACAGAAATCCCATCTTTTAATTTATTTATTATCATTATTCCTTATAAATTTTATAAATCTCTAAAAACAATTATTTTTCTCTTAATTCAAAAATTTCATTAATGTATCCGATCCATCATTATTGTGTCTGACCCTCTTTTTAATGTATCAGCCATGTATCTGATTTTGGAGAACTTTCACATATAACCACTAAAAATAGTCTAACTACTCTGCATAGCTATAGTTTGATAATTATGATTTGTAGCTACATGTTATAGGGAGGATAGACGCTAGCGAGATTGAGAGAGAGAGGAGAGTGGCGAGAGAGAGGGGACAAAAAGTGGGAGAGAGGTGAATTGTATATGTATATTGGTTAGATAATTGTATATTACACATATGTATTTGTATATATGGAAAGAGAGATTGGAAGATGAAGGAGATAGGTGAGCGAGATTGGGAGAGAGGCGAGCAAAGAGGGCAGAGAGTAGGAGAGAGGTAAATTGTATATGTATATTGGTCAGATATTATACATATGTGTCTGTATAAAAAGCAAGCGAGATTGGGAGAGAGAGGAAAGAGGCGAGCGAGATCGATAGACAGAGGAGAGAGGCGAGCGAGAGAGGTTAGAGAATGGGAGAGAGGTGAATTGTATATGTATATTGATTATATAATTGTATATTATACATATGTATTTGTATATGCTGGCGAAGTATACATATACAAATATGACTAATTACACAAACTTGAAGTCAGACCTCATAATTAATGTATAATACTAGTCGTGAGTGGTAATTAAGCAAACTATAGCTATGATGAGTAATTAAGTAGTATAAGTTTATTTAACCGTGTAATTTTCCCTTTTTTTGGCTGTTAATGTATGTGGACCTCCATTATGTATCCGACACTCTTTTTAATGTATCAACGCATATATTAATGTATCAGCGCTTATATTATTATATCCAGTTGAGGAATTTCTATAGTTATAAACTTTTAAGTGATAAATTATAATTTACCTTAAAAGTATATGATTTCTGTGATTTGTCATTTTCTCGTACAAATTTGAGGGTTGACCCATTTTTGGTAATTTCCTATATATGCATGACTTCTACCTTCAACAATATATTAGTGTAATTTCGAGTTTCAAAGGCGAAGTTTGAGGAGAGTTGTGTATATATAACTTTACCTTCATCCGGTAAAGATAAATAGGTGGATTCTAATAATCCTTGATTCAACTAAATTGCATGACAACCATCAATTAAAAAAAATCATATACAATAGTAAAGAATTCACGTAAAAAATAGTGGACAAAAGAAAAAGAATAATAACAACACAAGAATTAAGACAATTGGATGGTAATAATAATAATACTGACAAAGGATTAGTTTTTAGTTAATATAACATTTTTACCTGAAGTTTTATATATAATATCTTTGTTTGAAAATGATAGTGACACACTACATTATCTTTCTCCACTTCTTCTTAAAGTTTGAACTGCACAATTCTCACTCTTGCCATCCAAACTCCAAGCATTTCCATGGAGTTTGAGTTATTGCGCATTACAACTCAAACTTCACAGGATAATATTAGGAAATTTTACTTATATAAGTTCGAATTACATGATATTCTCTCTGTCCCTAATTATTTATTTACATTTGAATTGGCATACTTATTGAGAAAGCAATTATCGATATAGTGAATTTACAATTTTACTCATATTAATTATGAAACTGATGGATTAAAAAATTAAAATTTTCAAAAATTTATACCTTTTTAAAAGTAATTAATTAAGAATATAATAAACAAAATTATTTTATTCTTTCTTAATTTGTTAAAATGGATAAATAATTAGTAATAGGAAAAGTATTTATCCACTGTTTTTGCTTTTGTAACTTTTGAATTTTAAAATATTGTCTTTAGAGTTGGAAACATGTTGGACATGTAAACGAAGTCTCACTTGGCGAAAAAGGGCAAGAAGCCTAGAAATTTGAACCACAAAGACAAGATATGTATGACTCCAATTTAATTTGCTACTATCATGCTTCCGTCTTTAAATTTTCTTCTACATATAAATAATACTTCCTTTATCCTATGATACATTTTATTCTTTAAAAGTTAAAAATTTACACAAAATCTTTATTTTTAAAAAATAAAATAGACATATTTATAAATTATATGTAAAATAATATAAGTTATAATAATTAATAAATTAAAATATTTAGAAGATACATAAATAAATAGAATCAAATATATATTTTTAAAAAATTTAATAATTAAAATGTATCACATAAATTAAAACAGACAGAATAAAATAGAATTAGTTTGAGCAAGTGTGTCATCTCCCGTGCATGGGAGGAGCAACATTAATAAGTATTTGGGTGGCTAAGGAGTGATATTATTATCTTTTCTAATATAACGATTAGTTTCTAGAATTTGTCTTCTTTCGATTCTGAAGTAATAATTAATAACTTAAATATTAAAAACGCAATATAAAGAAAACTTAATTTCCTAAAAAAAATTAATAATATCACTTAAATTAAAACGTATTATTAATACTTTTTAAAGCTGGAAATTCAAGAGGGTTAAAGATTGGTTCACAAGGGCATGTTTGATTGTTGAGTCTTCTAGATGGACCACCAGGGTATGTTGATCACTAAAATGGTCCTTGGTTAATAAATCGATCGTTTAATTATATTAATTTTTGAATTAAAGTAAGACGTTGTAATTCATAATGCATCTATAAATTATCATAGAGTACTAGTTGATTCAAGGTGGCACAATGGTGACATTATATGAAATAAAGGGGGACCTTAAAACATTCATTGAAGTGACTTGATACATTTATTTTTTGTTACGTTGTGCTTTAATACTACAACTGTTTGCTAAAACAAAACCTTCTTCAAAATAATGATTAGAGCAATATTTTCTTTATAAAAAGATAATTATTTTCTTATTTATCTAAATAGTAAGTACTCCTACTTGATTAGCAAGTATATTGTTTCGAGAATACAATCTAAGCAAATATTACAAATGATATGTGTTTTGTGTATTGGTGTATTCATGTAAATATTTGGAAAAAGTATTGAAATATACGTTTTTTATTTTTCTTTTTTTCAATATATTCTTCTATTTTTAGAAATTTCTAAAATTTGTTATTTCTTTAATGTATTCGAGCTACATATTAATGTATTCAAGCTAGTATTTAATGTATAGTTTATTTTATAATGTATCTGAACTAGTCTTTAATGTATCCGAGATACATATCGTGTATCCGAGCTAGTTTTTAATGCATCTGAGTTACATATTATGTATCCGATATATGTTACACTGTATTCGAGCTAAATAATAATGTATCCGATTTGTGTTACTTTTTAAGAAATTAATGTGATTTAAATTAAAGAGGATAGATTGTAATTTTATATTAAAACTATGTGATTCCTAAAAAAATATCACTAAGAAATATCAAAATATTAAGAGGTATATAAAGAACTGATGAAAATTCAACACATCTATATATATTCCCCGTTAAGAGGCATGGATATAATTACAATTTTAATCATATATAACTAATATAATTTTCTATCGAATGATACTTTGTGATCGACCTAGGTAAAAGATTTTGCCGACCTAATTCAATTTGCCGTTCTTGTAGCACAGAATTTGAGTCTGGTCAAATTTCGTCATGTTTATTCAATTTTGTTATGATATAACATTTCGTTATAATAGTAAAAAGAAAAAAGAAATATCCAAACAAACACTACCAATATTTAAATAAAATGAGTGTAATAGTTTTATCATTTTGGTATAAACAAAATTGGAAGTTATCATTTTTATTGGTAAAATTATAACCTTGTGAGTTCCCCTCTCTTGCGCAAATAATTTCTCTTGCATGATGCATCACGATCATTATTTGGGGACCCTTTTCTTATTTCATGGAGTGCTCACACTTGTACATGTGGCAAAAACTTGGTTCTTGAATCTATTCCTTTAAGAATTTCGTGTAGGGGACACACACTAAATGAAGAAAGAGAGACGGGTGGAGTGGTAAATATTCTTTCATTCTTATTCACAAGGTTCGAGTCAAGTTTCAGAAGTATTTATTAGAGACGAAACTAAATTTAATCAGATTTTGATATGAATACGGAATACGAAAGAAAAGAGGGAAGGATGATAGTTATCATACATCACTTTGATGGCCTTTATTTTTTGGCTTGCATGGAAAAGTGTGGCAATCTTTATTGATCCAATTTAATGCTTCCAACTACCCCAACACCCTTTAATTAGCTAAGTTGCATTATTCATAAGTACTAGTAGTGCTACCTATCATTCACCCAATTTCTTCTCTTACAATAAAATCATTTTTTAGAAAGGAAAAAAAAAAAGCCAAAAAGCCAAAAGAGAGTACAATATTACATAATGAAAACTAGTAGTACAAATATGGCTGGAAGTAGTCCACTACAAAAGAGAGAATTAGAAGATGACAATGAAAGTAGTAGCAGTATGAGAACAGCTGAGACTATGCTGCGTTTGTTACCTATGGGGCTTTGTGTTGTGGCTCTTGTTATTATGCTCAAAAATCAACAAACTAATGATTATGGTTCCATTACTTACTCTGATCTTGGAACCTTTAGGTAATTTATCCTCTCTTTTTTTTCCGTCTTCCTCTTCTGTCGATTCTTGGTTGGCATCGTTTATGGTTGAAATAGTATTTATTTATGACATTAATATTACATGTGGGCTAGTGTTGTTGGACATTGGCCAGCCCTAAATTAGACGGAACTACACTTTGAGTTTATATCCAGTGAAATTCTATAATCCAGGTCTGAAGATATCGATATACACATCGACTTTACTACTATTTCATAGAGACAGATAAGCTATTTTCGAGAGATTCTTGACTTTATACGGGAAATAAAATAGTGTGATAATCGAGAGAGCTTAAGCATATTATAATAAGGAGAAAAAGGATCTAACAATGATTCTCCTTGTAATAGTGGGTGAATTGGGAATATTACTAAACTTTATCATCATGATTTTACTTGAAATTACTTTACTAGTGATGTGATTATGTAACTATATTTTAGACTGTGAATGCATAGAGCTTAAATTCTCTTGTTATTGATTTCAAAATTGTGGAAATTGAGTTTTAGTTGTCAACTTATTGAAGAAATTTGTGAATTTTGGGGGAAAATTAACCTAATTGTTGAATCTACTGCAGGTATTTAGTACATGCAAATGGAATTTGTGCAGGTTATTCACTTTTATCAGCAATTGTAGCAGTCGTACCTCGTCCCATAACGATGTCTAGAGCCTGGACCTTCTTCCTCCTTGATCAGGTTCCGCTTTTGTGATATCAATCTATGCATACATTTTGAATCATTTGGTTATATGAATTATATTAGTTCGAGAAAAATGGAATAAGAACTTACAGAACCTGCTCTGCTTTCACTTGTGTTTTGTAGTTATTGACATATGCAATACTGGCTGCTGGAGCTGTATCGACGGAGGTGATGTATTTAGCATATAAAGGAGATCCAGAAGTTTCATGGAGTGAATCATGTGGTTCATTTCGAGGTTTTTGCCACAAAGCTACAGCATCTGTGTCCATTACTTTCATAGTAAGCCTTTGTTATGCAGGGCTTTCGTTGCTTTCGTCTTATCGGCTTTTTAGCAAGTATGATGCACCAGTTGGATCGTACAACAACAAAGGGGGAATTGAGATTGCTAACTATTGAGATTTTGAAACTGATCCCTCTTTAGTTTTGGTTGTTGGTGTTGGTTTTTACTATATCATGTACACGGCTAATGCTAATAAATTAGATAATTAGGTACAATCAAGGATGTTGCTTTACTTTTTCTCTTCTTTTTTTCTTCGTGAAAAGGATGTTGTTTTGTCTTGAAATATCATATCTGGTAAATTTGTGACCTTCAAATCATTCTTTGGTCCCACAAGTTTTCTTGTAAATTTGTCCTTGTTGTTGGTGACTGGGTAAACAAGGGAAACGATGAAAGGTGAATGATGGTAATGTTCGAGCCAGCTTTTTAAAACATCCACTCCGTTTAATATCTATCACTCTCTACCAGCACAGAATTTAGGTCACTCTATTGTTCCATCAAAGGTCTTGAAATATTAAGTTACTCTATTTTTTTCTTCAAAGGTCTCAAATTTGAGCCCCCGAGAGTGGATGAAAGTTCTCAAAATATATACTACAAACAAATTCATGAGACCAACTTCTATTTACCCAATAGTGTGGTTTGGAGTTCAATAAAGTAGGTTGAGAACATACGAGATTTCCAGTTCAAATACTATTTTAAAGGTTAAAAATAATAAGTGATTTTTCTATTTATTCAAATCCTAATATACGAATTAGTAGAGATCCACGCAAACTAAACATATCAAATTCCCTCTCAAGATATGTTGTAATTGTTCCTAATCAAGTCGAATGGATTAACACATGAAAATAAGCTTAGAAGATTTTAAGAGTGGACTTCAACACATGAAAGTAAGCTCAGATGATTTAAAGCGTGGACACTAACACATGAAAATAATTTTTGATTTAGCTTTAGGAATGTGTTATATTTACCCTCAATAAATGAAATTGCCAAACCAATTGGGACAAAGGAAATCTTTAAGTTCTGTAAAGATGAGATCGAAATCCCACACCAAAGAGCAGATCCTCTGATGCAAAGACTCGAAATCAATCAAGAAAATACTTGTAAATCCTCATATCAAGGACCAAGTATGCTATCCAACTGCATCTCAAAAAAATATCACTAACAGCATAAGGATGGCCATGTCTAAATACGGCAAGTTTAGAAATTAATCAAGTTTTAAGGAGAGTCTAAGCTGGACAAATGCTTCATATAAATATTGCTTGAGCATTTATAAGTTTTACAGAATTACTCGCTCAACTTCATAGTCTCAAATTTCAGGATGTCTGAAAGCCAAACCTACTAAATCATTAAACAGAAAAGTATCCTCAACTAAATCAGCCTCTTCATTTGAGGCATTATTAATAGTTCGAACTAAGAAAAGCAAGGGAATCCACGAAAATCCAGAATATAGCTAGAATATCCTTCACAACTCCGCATATATAACTAGCTGTAACAGTATTTCATCTTTAGTGAGACAACAATGAGTCATTATGAAAGAAAACAGTTTGATGTATATTGACATACACTGCAAAGTTGACCATTGGGGTACTTCGACATTGCTGGTTCAAGCCCTGATAAAAGAAGGATAAAATAGTCAAATATAGAACAAATAACATGAAGCAACGCCCCTTCTCAAACACTATCTAATTGGTATAAGATTGATGTGTCAGTCATAAAATCACTTAAGTGCCTCCAGCAACAAAAAAATAGATAGTCTTTACTCAGGTATACTACATCAATTGATTCTCTCATTATTGGGGATACCTTTTCTTTAGACCAATGAACTCTAGAGGACTCTATAGGCCAAGAGAGACGGGCACCATGGTAGAATCTACGACCAGGCTACCAGATTGAACTCAGTTTATGGCAGCATATTGTGTGTACGGCCAATTCAATAGACATTGCTACTGGTGGTAGTGATTAATGTAGTAAGCTATATCCATTAAATGATGCAGTAGAACAGTAGAGGATCTCAAAATGTCATAAGAAGAACGCAAGTAACATAATATACCAGATTGCAAGTCTCACGCCTACTTTCACATTCAGTTGTGTCCATGATGTTTGCTAAAAGAGTGGCGCGCCAAGAGCTTCCTACCTGGTGCACGATGATCATCCTGCGAAATTTTGTATCAGATACTTGGCCTCAGAAATCAACGAATGGATTGAAAAACAACGGGCCAAAAAAAAAATGAATTCCCCTGGAGCTATAAAATTGAAAGGGGTGGTTATTCAAAGAGACAACAAATTCCATGGTCTGAGAGGACTATGGGAAGAGATTTTTCCACATCCTTCCAAGAAAACAAACAAGATTTTAATCTAGATACAGATAAAAAGAAACAAGATTTGAGTCTAGCGAAAACAATTTCCAGAGAACTTGTTATTTGTGAAAGCAATCACTTGGCAGGAGAAAGTTTCAAGTAACAGCACATGATACCACAAACATGCATTTCCTTTTTTCATCTGTTAACAATCAAGTTCATACATCAAGTTAAGATACCTAGCGAATTAACTATAGAATTTTAAACCCCGGTCATATTAGAAACAACAAAAGAAAATTACTTCTCCTTCACAAAGCCTACAAAAAGAATTGTCATTGCTGGGAATACCATATGTAAAATCAACTACCTTGTACAGAGATGCAGCTGATTCAGATTCAACAGTTTGGACTGGAATATGTCCAAGTGACTGGAAAGAATCCAAAGCATCTAATGTTAGCTGCCAACCACAGAGAGCAATAGCACCAGAGTTGGAAGAGGAACTGCCACTATTACTGCAGCCAGCAGCAGCAACATTTCCATTAACCCAAGGACAGAAAAAATTATGATGCTTAATTGGATCAAATTCAACAGCTTCTTCGTAGTTGCTTTCTCCAATAGGAGGCCCTGGATAACATTTGTTTTCATCATTTCAGCAAGCTATGAATAACCAAATCAGTAAAACCTGAATAAAAGAAGAAAAAAAAATACTTGAAAGTATAAAAGCAATGATGCCTAAAATGAAAAAAGGTGAAGTCCCAATCAAGGAATATCAAGAAAGGTAAACGATGCCTAATTCCATGGTAAGTTCCACCAGAGTTGTGCTGAATCCAATCACAGTAAGCATCAGTATGAAACATTACAAGCCGTGAACCTGAATATGAGTTTAACTATTCCAAGCTGAATGAAGTCTATTTTGTGATGTTATTATCTAATGAGAGATGAGATACTTACCAGAATATAGAAACTTCCCAATGTAGCTGCATTTTTAAATCAATACAAAGTGCTTTTGCACATACATTCAAACAGGTCTCTGAGAGAAAGAAGGGAGGTAGTAACATACAGTAGAAACTGATACCCTGAAACTCAAGCATGAAGGTTACCTGTTCCATTTGCTAGCATATAGTCTGACTCAACGAATCCACAATCATCAGTAGCTGGTGCATTATTTTGGGTAACTTCTTCTTTGGATGCTTCATGGGCGGAACATACAACAGCATTGCAAGAAAGAGAAGGGTGTGGACTATTTGGGAGCATAGGTTGCACGTGACAATTCTTTTCACCACTTTCAATGGATTCTGCTTTGGCAGAGCCAACAACTTTTGAGCCACTATCAGCCCTTCCCACTGAACGAGACGTCAGATCTTGACTATCACCATTAGGATCTCCACGGTCCACCTCTTCAGGGACATAGTCACCCATAAGTCCTGGATCTGGAGCAAATTCACCTGTTTGCCCCTGATTTTCAGTAATTTCAGCAACCGCTTCTACCTCACCAGCAACGCTATCTGCTCTATGCACTGAAGCATCTGTCCCATGGATTTCAGCTTCATGACTAGCACCCATTCCAATACTTCCTCCACTGATTCCAAAGCTAGGGCCATCCCTCACATTGGCAGTGGCAGTATCAGCATTCACGACTTCTTCATCATTTGTGCTACTAACACCCATTTCACCAGCACTCCTGACCACAGCCGGACAAGTACTTTGTTGTGCTTGGTTACTGTAGTTCAATTCTGAAGTTTCCACTGGGTCTGCACTTCTTAACATAGATGTAGAAGGGAAATGAACATCATCAAAGTCTCCGGGAAGATTCTCAACACTTTCCATTGAATCATCTGTACCGTGAACCGTGTCCATTGCAATAACAGATGAAACATGTGTTGAGTCTCGAGTAGAGGGCACACCAGTTAGCTGTTCGTGTCTTCGGCCAAAGGTATCATCTCTGGGAGCACTTGTACCAATCTCAAAACCAAGTGACAGGCTAGGACCAGCACCTGATGAATCCTTGCCATATGAAGTATGGTGGGTCCCGAAGGCATCAGACTGACATGGGCGCTTTGATGGGCCAGCTGAGTACTGACTACCATCATTTACTTCATCTCCGTCACGGTCTATCACAGTGCCTTCAACACTATCAGCCGGTTGTAGAGGCAATTGTGGCCTGTCAACCGTGCTTCCACCTTCCTCTAAGTTTCGTTTGCGGGAACTAGGGCCTCGAGATTCATATGAAGCTGCTTGACCACCAACTTCACTGCTTGAAGGCTGCCCAGTAACTGGATATCTTCGTTTATGTCCATCTTCGAATTGTTCAGGCTTTGCATCCATGTTCACCTGTGAAGAGGATAATCCACCAGCCATTGTGAGATTCAGATCTACTCCTATATTTGACAAAGACCTTCCCACATCATTTGTTGCAGCCTCATCAAGGTCCTCTGTCTGTTCCTTTTCAACACCATCAGCAGCAACCCACCCACTGATTCCACTAGCAGCACTTGCTCCACGTGTCAATGCCATTTTCTTGCTTGTTTCAGGGATATCATTGCTATTTGGAGCAAAGCAAGCAGGACGGACAACAGTGAGGAAGTCCCAAATTCTCACGGTGGCTCCACACAAACTACAATCCAATAAAGGCGACCTAGATTCACCTTTAGACCTGGGACCCACAGCTTCGTTCTTACTATGAACTTTTTTCTTTGAAGAAGGCAATACATTTTCTCCATGGCCAAAATCTTGCAGAGAAGTGTGATATTTTGTGGGACCAATGGAGTATCCACTCCTAGCTGATTGAGCAGAATGTTCTTCGCAGTCTTGGACATTTGGAAGCCATCTTGGCTCCCATCCGCACAGGCTTATCAACTTATTAGCCTAAATTGCAAAGAATTCTATCTATTCAGAACTCAATAACAAAGTTATAATATTTAGCAATTTAAATGAAATGAGACTCTTACACGAGAGTATACAAGGAAGACATCTTCTGTGTTGGTTTCAGTTCCTGACATAATCTCTAACCTAAAGATAGGTTCCATCCCACCAAAA